AAAATTAATAAATTTGCAGAGTATTTGCGGGGCGGATAATTTTGAAAGCTCAACGGGTCCCCCGCGGGTCTAAAATATCATCAACGGGTCCCCCGCGGGTCTAAAATATCATCAACGGGTCCCCCGCGGGGCGGAATATCTGCGGGTCCCCACGGGTAGCGGAGTATTTCTGCGCAGCCTATAAGTTAGACCCTGTCCTGAGAACAATCCATCTTCTTTTCTTTCTCAAACAACCAACTCAAAATTACCAAAACTTCAACTAGACACATTTAAAATACACTCCCGTCAATTCATAATCATCTGAATCATGTCTGGGAAGGGCAATTCTGGCTCCAGTAGCTCCGGCTCGTCTGGCTCGGGAAACTCTCTCGGTCACCCATATACTGTCAACAGCAGTGGTACCAACAGTCAAGTGAGTTTTCCACCGCCCATTCTCTCGATTTCCAAATAGCACCCGAGAGATTGAACTCCATCAACTAACCTCCTCAACCTCCAGGGTAACAGCTACGATAACCGCTCCACTCCCTCTGGTGAGACTTATCACTACAGCAATAATGGTAAGCCATCCACTTCATCCTTATTACTCCTCCAGGCCCCAAATACTCTCCAGCTCGCCTTCAGTGTGCTAACGAAAGATATCGCCGAACAGATGGCTCGTACTACTACTCCAACGGTAATGGATCTACCTACCACAATACCGGCAGTGGCTCTACCTACACTGCTCCCGATGGCTCTGCATACAAGAAGTAAGCTGTGCGCTTGTCGTACGGGCTACTCCGTGGGTGTTTTCGGTAGCTTTTCTTCACATGGGGTCAATATTGGGTGGACAAATGGTGAGGCTTGCCTTGCCATGAAAGGGCTTTTAGGGGCGGATTGGTTATCAGGACATATATCTTGACTGTTTTCGGGATATGATGGTTTAGTCTGCATAGGAATTGACCCGCTTTTACTGGTGGGGATGGCGTCTTTCATGCTCATGGGATGTGAAATGATCTGAATTGCAACTGCTTCATAAGACTAACGAATCAGAACTCCTATTTAAGCAAGTGCTAACCCCACGACGTCTGCTGGTGTGTGTCAAAACTATCTCTCATTAAAAAGTACCGGATGATTTGAAGGAAGAGAGCGGAAAATGACCTCAAAGTACTCGTTTCCCTATAATATATCTCCAATTCTAAAAGATGTGTTTAGGCGCTCCCGAGTCAACTATGATGCCCTATTACAGATCTGTGTTCCACGCAGTGATGCAGTCTTTGGAGCTATCATTCCCATGGTGGTGCGGGCTGTCCCCCCTTTCCTCCTCTGTAAGAGGACGTCTGCGACGACTAGATTTCTCATATATCTGCTTCCCACACTCCCAGCTTTCCTCTCTCCTCCCCTCCCTCAGCAAATTCCATTTCCACACTGATTTACATTACATCCCTTTGATTAAAGGACAATCTATCTAGTGCGATTATCCTCATACATACCTACTCCCTTCCCACTCAAAACACTGTATTTATATACTATCCCCGTAACAATAACGACAATGACATTATCATCAAAATCAAATAGATGTGCAGAATACCTTATGCGAAAGGCCGATTATAATACCGACGCTGGCAACGATATGAAACTATATACAAAAACTATTGGGATGGCATGGCCTCCAAATTCCCGCCTGATGTATTCTGTTAGCAGTTAGTCAGTAGTTTGAACTAATTGGTAAGCTGGTAGTCTTTAAGTCTGTATCTTGAATTTAAAATTGTTGTATTGTATTAGTTGAAACTGTTCCCATTTGAACACAAGAAAACCTATATGAACACAAATATCTGGCACATTACCACATGACTAGCTACATACAACCATATTCATTTATATTTAAACACTAGCAACTACTGGAAAGTAATGAAAGAATAAGAGTGCTGTAATTCTATACTCATAATCTGACTAGCAAGTTTTCATTTTCATGTTCCTTGCCGTAGTAGTTGTATACTCTATACCCCGTACATTGTATTTACTTCAAGATATACTCCTCCGTTCCATCGTATATTATAGTGTAGAGTGGTTGTAGTCCTAAATTGAGGTCGAAATAAGGCAGGCTTAAGACTGAAATGTAAAATTGAATGGCTAAAATCGTGAACAAGGAATCGTGTGGAAAAGCTCTTGAAAAGAGAGCTGACGTAAGTGGCGTGCCAGTCATTATCGTTGCAAGACTGAAAAGTGTAATGTTCTGAGAGAAGGTGTGGAGTAAAGATGATGATGATGATGGGGGTAGTGAATGTGGGCGATGTAAATAGAGGGGTGGAGTCGGAATTCGAGGTGGGGGAGGGGGAAAGTCGAGTTCTGAGGTGAAAGGGGGAATATCGGGATTTTGAAGGAAGGAGGGTGTCAGGCTTTGAGGTGGCAGTGGCGCAGAAGGAGGAGGATGGTTATCGCAGACTGGGTGTCCTTCATTTTTGAATAGAATCGTTTCCAATACAAACTAATCACTTGATAATTTCACTCATTTTATTATTGGATACAAAAATTCATTATATCTATTCACCTAATATCTATAAGGCTGTGTAATGTGAATGTTATTATACCCTGCATATTAGACTATCCCGACTGTATCAAAATTGTTCATTTATAGACTTCCAAAGTCTTCCTCAACTTACTTCCTGAGTTCTTTCTATTTAGCCAACGATTAGCCTATCTAAAACATCTAAGTTTTGATCAATACAAGCTGTACTCATTTCCACTTATAAAGGATTCTTGTAAGTACAAACTACCAAACACAATTTCCAATATTCCCAAACATACGAATGTTATCTATTCCTCATTCATCAGAATTCTAATCAGAATGGACTTCAATCACCCCGATTCAGAGTTAGAGTTGAGAGTTATCGCTAACAATGAAGAAGAAGACATCATGCAGGACCACGAGGTTTTTAATGAAATAGTTGCTCAGTGTGCTGAAGAGCGAAACGAGCGGATTGCAAACGAAGCAGCTCATGCCGAAGAGCGCGCTGCAACTCAAGCAGCTTATACCGAAGAGCATATTGTAGCCCATACTGAGCGTATGGCAATTATAATAGATCGTTGTTATGAGCGTATCGCAATTCAAACAGTTCATACTGCAATCCAAACAGATCGTGCTAATGAACGTACCGCAATTCAAGCAGTTCATACCGCAATCCAAATAGATCGTGCTAATGAACGTACCGCAATTCAAGCAATTCATGCCAATGAGTATGCCACAGCTCGTACTGAGCGCATGGCAATCCTAGCAGAGCGTGCTGCAGAGCGTGAATCTTCCTATAAGATATTGCGCTTGGTTCTCTACTGCTTTTTTGCTACTGGAATTGTATGCGTAATTTTCCTCTACTGGATTATAGATCTATTGTTAAATCGCAGACAATAGCTATCAAGGTAAATCTTCTTCTTCAAAAAGATCGGAATTCAGCTAACTCTTACCTTTTCTTTTTTGAAAAAGCTGCTAGCTCACCCCTCCGCATTTTCGGTTTCGATTTTCAGTATCGCATCACCTTCAATCGATTTAAGACTCGAGCTTTGCTTCTCGAATACGCAATGTTTAATTGGGTTGGTCAAAGATGATAGCTTGCACTCTTTGGGCTGGATGGCATATGAAAATCCGATTTTATGGTGGAGTAGAGATAAATTATGGGGGTCATGGAGTTAGGCATAGGGAATTTCATTTGGGAATCTCAAGGATTGAGGATATGTATCATCAAACAATACTCTCAATACAATATTCGGTCCTTTCTTTCTAAACTTGTTGCTTTGTGATTTTGAAAGGTTTCACTCCAGTCTAGTATATTGTACATATACCTGCTTCCTTCAACATATTTGCCATGACTACTCCGAGGAAGCACGTCTTGCAAGGCTACAACTTTGTCTTGGGACTAACATCGTCATAGACTCATATCACTAGTCTCATGATCAATACGAAACTGAGGCATAAGTCGTATGGCACAATGCTTCAGAGGTCCAATCCACGCCATATTGGCACTATCAAATAATGTGATTGCCTGTGATTACCTGTGATTACCCGTTTGACCTTACTCTTCCACACCAGTCGACCACACTGCCTGGCACTACTATTATAGTGATGGTTCGATTTTACAAAATCCGAACTTTGAGCTACACACACAAAATTTGAGCGACAACGCTAACCGCACTGCTCTGAATAATGACGTATGCATAATATGAGCCAATTGAGGGGTATATATGAGTGATTAGTGATCGATTTCGTGACCAATCGCGAGATGATGTGTTGGAAGGTGTACTGTAGTATGTTCGAAGAACATATTGAATCCGAGTGATGAAGACATAGAACCAGAAACAAGTGGCTCATTTTCAAGACTACAATCTCTACTTATAACCTTAAGCCAAAAGCCACTGTAAAAGATGGAGATACTCACAAAGGGATCAAGTTCTAGTGTCATATTTATCACCAATTCATTGTTGCATGGAAAACCCATTAGCTTATAAGTCATCGTCCCCATAACTTTCAACTTTACCATTCAACCATGCACACTCCAATAACTAAGCGGTGAAATTGGAACACGGGAGACTAGTCATGACAGCAGATCTAACACTTTCACATCAATTCTACAGCCATGAGTCAAGTACTTCGTTCGTATTGCTTCGGTACGGTACTGTAAGAACCCTGCTTACACTAACCATCCCTACGGGCACCTCAGGAGGGTAATTAACCCACAAGTGGGTTATTATTGTACTAAACTATGTATTGAAGTGCAATGAGATATATTGAGATCTTATATTGAGATCTGAATACATAGTCTAAGCCTAATATGAATTAGTTCGATACAGCTTCATTTTTTTCACCCTAAATCGATGATTTCAAATTCATTCTAAATCATTCATATCTACCGAAATCTTTCAATCATATTCCTTTACAACTTTTCATTCAAGACAACTTGAATGCTTTCAATGCAATATTCAGTAAGTTAGAATGGTTTCAATTGTATATATATATGAAATCTAGCGACGACGAGGGAGGAGAGGGCCAGGGAGGCCAGGGAGTGAGGAAGTGGCAATTGAGAGGCCCGGGAGAGGGTGGCTATCGATATCGGAGGCCTTTTTAGCTTCAAATCTCAATACATATTTTGAATCTCAATACACACGCTAAAAAGGACGCGTGCAAAAATGGCCGATTTACCCTCTTTGGGAGGGTTATTTACCCTCCTCAGGTGCCCGTAGGGCATCAAGATATCATTCAAGCAGAGCTGCATTAGTCTATTTGTCTAAATGACAGTATACAGAGTTTCTCTATAGCAAAGAGGTGGGAATATCCATCACGACTTGAGATGGCCCCGATGGCGGTCTCTATAGAAATTCAGCCTCCGATAACATCATTAATACATTATTGATGACATTACTTCTGTTTTCGATATATTTCAAAATCAAATCAATGATAATACAGGACCGGATTTGACACTATTTGGACTCCGCGGTATGAGAATGAACGGATTGGTATTTGGTTTGGGCCATAACTAACAGAACTCTATGTAGTAAGAGTCATCACAACTCAGCACCCCCCCCCCTCAACGCTTTAAATCCAGCTCCCCCAAAACCAAGCTCACAAATTCTTCCCCGCAGTCACCAGGAAGAAACCACCAAACTAGATTCTACAAAAGAAGCCGATATAGAGAAAGCACCTTCATCTCAAAACTCAGTCTCATTCGATAAGAGTACCAAAACACATCCCACAAGGCTATTTCTCCAGACCCCGACTTACTCCGGACTATATTTTAAATCAACCCACCACGTAGGTTAATAAATAATAAATACAATTCAAAAAGGATTATAATAAACTACAATATAAATATAAATTAGCAAATTAATAACAGGTTGGTAAATAACCTATTTATACTTTCAAATGATCTGCCCTACTAATAAATAGCCCACAGATTATCCACCAGGTTAATAACCCGCCCCGCGGGGCCCCGTTGCATCTTCTCGATGTGGTCAAGAGCGGGAAAGGGGGTTTAAGCGATGGTGTGGCGAAGATTTTGCCATTTAGATGTTTAAATGGTGTCGTGTCGGTGGGTGGACATGGATGCAACTGAGCAGAGTGGAGAAGGATGCTAAGCGATGTCAGAGAATTGCCAAGTTTGCGGGGTTATTAGCCGAGAAAACAAAACAAATCGAGAGGGATTAGTTGAGGGGACAAGGGGGGTGGTTGTTAGGTTGGTGAAATATTGAAATATTGGAATATTTGATTTAGAGAGAGTTACTCGACTTATGCATTAAATGCATTAAATGCATTAAATGCATTAGATGTATCGAAGACTCACTCAAGGGATGATCTTTGCAACGTTTCTATATAATTGCGATGCATCGATTCTTGCAATATTAATACCGGTACCTGTGTCATTAAGGTATCTTATTATCGCCATTCCATTCTACATACTCAGTAATAATAATTAGTATATGCGCAAGAAATTAGCACTTGTTCACAATTTATTACGATGTAAACATGTGATGAGGCGAATATGAATATATTGTGTACCCGTAGTTCACAAGGGTTGGTTGTCTACTCGAGTAAACAGGCTATAGTTTACTACCGTGACAATACCCCTCCCCTGACAACAGATCAGTATTTCACCAACGAAGCTTTCGCGGTTAATTTAAAGTTTAAAGCTACCTAGATATATATTACAATAAGATATTGCAATAATCATTGAATTATAAATCGCTATGAGATGCAAAACAAATTCTATGTCTTCATTTTAGTAGAACTCTAGTAAAGCGAAAGTATACCAGTATTCAAAACATCAGCATGCAAATCTCAAACCTCACTCAGCTCCAATCGGATACATACATACTCGAATACATACAGTACAGTACTCAAAAAATTCAAAATAACCCCGCCCGAACTCAATTTTCTTTTAAAAATTTTCAGATACATACCGCTACACAGATACTCGTACAAGCTTCAAGCTACAACAAAAGTTTTAATTCTATCTCTATCTACTCGTAGGTATCTACTCATAGGTATCCAACACCTAACATCTAATCTGATCATCTACTGAGTATTGTAATGTATATATTCATATCCTATTACTCATATATGTATATGGATTTTATACTCACTCATAGTCTTATTATAGAATGATGATTTGAATTTTGGGGAAGGCAAGATTCGGTCGGTCCCTTGCATGCTTCGAGATTAACTTGACTCGGGGACTGTACCGGTATTGTGTTGAGTATACTATGTTGAGTTTATGTTGGTTAGTGGTATTTTGGGTGGGTATATTGAGAGATGAGATGAGATAAGATGAGCAATCATTTTCTCTGACTCTCCCAACTTCCAAGATCTCCCAAGCGTTCTCTAGTACGTACATAGCATCATCATTATTAACACTTTATGATTTAACCGCAGAAAAACAATTTAAATCTTTGTGAAAATTATTGGTATCAATTCAGTACTCAAATAAAAACCATCGAAGCTACATACAGTAACCCCTTCAGATTACTCCTTTATCTCGCGAGCTTCGACTTCTTCCTAACCTTCTCGACCAAACTACTCAAGTCCCCTTTATCCGATTTCTCCCCATCTACCTTCCTCTTCTTATTCTTGTCCTTCACTTCAATCTCCCCATCATCCTCACCACCTCTCTTTCTCCTTCCCTCTTCCAACAATCTCTTCATGCCGTCGGTTCCCTTGAACTTTGGATTACTAGGATCAATAGCATACTCGTGATTCTTGAAAACGTTCCCGAATCTCTCATCGCCAACATCCATTTCGAATTTTTCTTGTAATCCACCCCTCTTACTCCCCACCTCTTCACCCTTCTTTCCCTTTCCTCTATTCTTCTTCTTCGCCTTCTCCGCGCGTTGAATTTCAGCAATATCGAAATGATCCAGATGTTCTGCCTTGTCCGTCGAATTATCCTGCATGAGCAATTGCAATTGCGCACGATTCGATGCTTTTTCTTCCGCTTCCTTGAGTTTAGCTTCGTGCTTCTTCTTGCGTACTTCTTTTCGCAATGATTTGGCTGCTTTGGCCTTGGTCGCTTCATCTGTCGCAAAGAAAGGATCATCAAATCCGAGATCTTCTTTTGCTTCCACTTCTTCTTCTTCTTCATCATCAGAAGCATTTGGATCTTTTCCTTCACGAACTGCCTTTGCCTTTTCTTTTCTGCGGGCTTTACGATCCTTTTCTTTGCGGATATATGCTTCGGCCGTGGTTTCATTAGGTATGGGTTCGTTTTCGAAAACATTGCCTTTGGTGGTGGTGCTGGCAGTTAGACCAGCGGTAAATGTAACCTCCATATCACCGACTGGACCACTATTCTTCTTCTTTTTAGTTGGCTCATCGCCAAGTCCGAGAGCGGCACGGAGCTTTTGTCTTTCTAATTCTTTCTTAGACAATTTAGGGGTATCTTCTTCTGCCGCTTCCTCTTCCTCTTCCTCTTCCTCTTCATCGTCCTCTGAATCACTTCCTAAGTATGCTCGTAGATCGTTTTCGCCAATGTCTGCACGACTTCCTGTGAATGCTTTGTTGATTGCATCTTTTCGGCTTGCTTCCTCGGGGTTCATATCCCATGTAAGTTTGACTTTAGAATGTTGAAGCGCATCTGTAACGAATTCCATAGGTTTATATCCTGTAGGCACCTTCGTACATTCATCTCTTGGCTTGTCATCAAATTCAGTACCATCGGGGATAAATCGCAAATCGAAAAAGTTGGCAGAACCCAGATACTCTGTGCCATCGCATTTCTGGTAGATATTTTCTGCAGTTTTCTCGTCCGAACAAACGACGACGGCGTAAAAATATCGTAGTCGTTCGAGTTGATATTGTCGTAATGCCCCACTATCAAATTCGTTCCCATCATCGCCCTTTTGTAAATCTTTCTTAATTTTCTCGTCCAATTCTTCGTCATCAGTATCCTCTTCATCCTCCGAGTCCTCCTCATCATCTTCATCCTCCTCCTGTTTCTTTGCGAAAATCTCTTTCGGAGGACCCTCCAACTCCTCTCGTTCCATTCTTTCCTTTCCATATTCAGATTGGTAAACTGATATCTTATGAATCTTCCCTCCAATGTTAACAAAACTCTGGAAAACAGCCATTAAATCCACCGATCGAATATTATCCCAATCCAGATTAACCACCGCAATTCTCGCAGAAACCTCTCCCATCTCAACTGCCTGTTGTTCTGCTTGCATATCTGGAAATGTAGCTTCCTCTTCAATATCCACTCCTCCATCTTCATCCTCATCCTCATCTTCCGAAGAGGAAAATCCGCCACCTCTCGCCGCATCATATCCTGTAGCTGCTCTTCTCAATTCCTTTTCCACAACCTCATCATCCTCCACCTGCACATCTTTTCCCTCCTCGTTTTCTTTCTCACTCCCACTATCCTCATCTTCCTCATCTTCATCAACATACAATCTCTCCAACGCCTTCTTCTTCCCACTTCCACTCAATTTTCTTCCATATCGATCCACCTTTGCCGAATTAGAAAAATCCTCATCTTTCAACATGCGCGAAAATCGTTTATCAATCTTCGTTCGTGTTTGTTTTTTAGAAGGAAGTCGAAATCGCGGATCCGTGGAGAAATTGGAGAATCGAGGATCATTGACTTCGGAAGTAGATGATGCATCTTTCGATGCACCCATTGGGACTTTTTGTTTCGACATTGTATTGCGATTGTTTATTTAATGCGTAATGGAGAACCTCTGGGACTTAAGAATAGGATTTTGTAACTGAGAAACTTTTTTTGAGATTGCGAGTTTCTGCCGGTGGAGATGGGAGGCGGTGAGATGGTGGATGTATGGGTATGTATGTGGCTAGAGGGGTCAGCCACATTCCAGACCACAATGACGAAATGTCCCAGATCTGATATCAATGAATCTACTCGAGTAGGTAGAGTAGATAGATACTCGAGTAGTTAGTAACATCGAAATACACCAAGATTCCTATCAAAACTGAACATGAATAGCCTCTGCCCATCCTTCTCAAATTCAACCTCTCAACCACCAATAAATCCACCAGCAAGCATGACAAGGCGGGTATGTTATACCCCGTACCGTGACCCAAATTCCCGCAATCATTTTATAACTACCGGTATTTACTTTAACTAATACCAATTATATAGATAGGATTCACAGTGAGTGGAACAGTTCAAGGTCCGTTCTATCACATAACGTTTCTCGATTCTCCGGGCCGGATATATAATATCTTAGACCCCTTGGGTAATAGTAAGTACGAAGTAATACTAACGGCTCTACTATCACATCACAGGAGTAAATTTCCGCTATTTCACCCAGAAAAAAGCCAAAAGCTATGGGGTAATTGGCTGGGTACGAAATACGGATGATGGAAAGGTGTGTATATCATATCATCATCCCAACAATTCCCTTCCCAAAACCCTCTACCTCTACCTCTGAATCTCAATCCCAATCCCAATCCCAAACCATAACACCCCCACCCACAGGTATCAGGAGAAGCCCAAGGAAACCCCTCCTCAATCGAGAAATTAATCGGAGATCTCAAGAATGGACCTCGTCATGCACAAGTTACGAATTATGAAGAAAGAGATTTGGATATCAAGGGTGATGGAACGGAGGAGAAGAGTTTTGAGGTTGTTAGATGATATTTGCGTTGATGTTGTGTAAATTTGGCTCATCGCTGTGCAGGATCAAAGAGTAGATTCACTCGTAGTCTAGAATGAAATAGTGAGAGCCGTGGAAGATTCTTGTGTCCAAGGCGGGGATGAACTGCTGGGGCTGGGGTGGTTGTTGGATTCTTTCACGCCTGGCGCTTGACACTTCGATATGTTTCTGCTGATACCGTAATTACTTGACGGGTAATGAACTCGATGCTTTGATATTACTGAATAAGGATACCTATATATGAATGAAATGTTCGAGTCAGAACTACATCAGCCAGATTCATATGTAGTTCAACTTTCAAGGCCCCAAACCATTTACATACTAGACCACCCCCGCATCCGAAAACAGAAGTAAAGTCACCGAAACGAGTAAATTATAAACAGTGTGCACCTCGTAGAAAATAAATTTAAAGAATCTACTAGCCCCGACCAAGATTTTAATTTTTCTAGACACACTATCAGTTTTTCTCCCCTTTTCGTTGCTCTCTCGCTTGTGTTGTTAAATTTCGCCTATTAATCGTCGGCTCCTCCTCAATGGATCAGCTGCCTAGTTCCCAGTCATTTGATCCCGGATTAGGCCCTGAGAAATGAATGTTGTTTTTGCTTCGTTCTGGGATTTGGTGGAGGATTCATTCTTTGCTGTTTTGTTTGTTTTGTTTTGATTTCGATTAATCATATAGGTTTGAAATTTGAAGTGCTCTCTTTAAACTGTGTAATGTCTTGAATGTACATACTATATAGGCATTGAGTAAGCAATACTATACATGTAGCCTCATTATTATCATGTATACGGCATCAATATCATGACATAACATGACATAACTCATACCCCTCCAATATCTATACGCCTTCCTTTTCTTTCTCTTTCCCCCAAAATTACACCCCACTTCTCTATTCTAAACACTCATCTTCATATCAATCTTCCCATGCGGCTTGTACCCCCTGACCTCAAACTCCTCCCCCTTCCACCCATCCACAACCCCACTCCCCCTATCCTCCCTTAGTATCCCCAATTCCGGAAATGCCCTAGGATCGCGCTCAAGTTGGATATTCAACGCATCGACATGATCAACATAGACATGCGCATCTCCCATTGTATGCGTGAATGTACCGGGCGTGAGATCGCATGCGTGAGCGAGAATATGGGTTAAGAGGGCGTATGAGGCGATGTTGAAGGGAACACCGAGTCCCATGTCGCAAGAACGTTGGTAGAGCTGGCAGTGGAGGATTCCTTTGGGTTTGGATTCTGGAATATCGGGGTTTGTACTTGATGGTTCGGAGGTTGAGGATGTGGTGGTTTGTGCAGGTTTAGGGAAAGATACATAGAATTGTGCAAACATATGACAAGGCGGTAATGCCATCAATTTGATATCTGCAACATTCCATGCACTCAAAATAATCCTCCTATCCCACGGATTATTCTTCAATTTCCAGACGATTTCCGCTAATTGATCAACACCCTGTCCTGTATAATCCGTTTCGACATCAATATATTTAGCGCCAAAATGTCGCCATTGAAATCCATATACAGGGCCTAAATCTCCTTCAACCCGATGCGAAAGACCGATAGAATCTAGATAGGCTCTGGATCCATTTCCATCCCAGATTTTTATGCCGGCGGTTGAAAGGGGAAGAGAGGAGGTGGAACCGGAGATGAACCAGAGAAGTTCGGTTAGGACGGCGCGGAGAAAGACCCGTTTTGTTGTGAGGAGTGGGAGGATTGGGATTCCAGTTGGGGATGTGAGGGAGAATTTTAGAGGGGCGGGGGCGAAGAGTGAGATGGTGCCGGTTCCTGTTCTGTTTGGGTTTATTGTTAGTTCCATGCCAACTTGGATAGAAGTTTGAATGAAGAAGATGGGGAGTGGAAATACCGATCCGGACGGAGTTCACCGGTTTCTAGAATCTCACGAATTAAGTCGAGATATTGATATTCTTCATGCCTTTTGGAGGTAGAAGTTGTGTTTGGAGATTGAGGATGTATTTGTTTTGTGGATTCCATTGCATTGGGAATTTCATGTGTAATAGTGGCAAGTTCTTCTTCCAGTGATGGTGACATTTTATAATTGATTAAAAGTTGAAATTAGTGGATGGATTTTGTTCTGTGGTTGTGGAAGAGATGTACTTGAGGATGTATGAATGGGAGACGCGTTTCTACGCGTAAAGTGATATTTCTGCACTACAAGTGTTGAAGTGGATAATGTGCCTGAGGCAGCAGTATCTGTCACGGTGATTCGGCCAATAGGTAAGGAGGCGAAAAAAGGGCTGGGTTGTTGTTCATCAGCTGCAAAGTCAGTCAAGCAACAGTTTGATAAACAAAGCAGAATACAAGGTTGCGTATGGAAGGCATAATTGTGTTCGCCGTATTGGTAAACATTTTCACGGAATCTAATGTGGTTCCGAAAGACCCGGCATGTTGTGTATAAATATACTACTCGAGTACAATTCAGTTGGATTTCTAATCAACTAATTTGTACTTTACACCTTCCGTTTGCAGTCTACCACGGTGACGTCTGAATTATTCGAGTACATAAAGACCATTAATCATTAACTATTAACTATCAACTCTAAAATAACAACATTTTTCTCAACTAACATATCACAAACAAATGTCTCGGAAAACTGTCCTGATCACTGGTTGCAGTGAAGGCGGCATTGGAGATGCTCTTGCACAGTCTTTCCATCGTAAAGGTCTTCGAGTTTTTGCTACAGCTCGGAATATATCCAAAATCGAACATCTCAAGAAATTAGGACTTGAAACTCTTCCATTAGATGTCACAGATGCAGCATCAATCAAAGCTGCTGTCGAGGCCGTCAAATTGGAAACTGGAGGAACTTTGGATTTTCTCGTCAATAATTCCGGTGCTGGTATGTTTTTATATTACATATGGCTGAGCCAGAGTATCTTAAAGTAAACGCTTACAAAAATAGGATATGCTATGCCACTGCTAGATACCGAAGTATCGGTCGCTCAAAAAATGTTTGACGTTAACGTCTTCGCCCTCATTGCAGTAACACAAGCATTTGCATCACTCCTCATCACCTCTAAAGGAACAATTATCAACATTGGTTCCATCGCCGGTCTTTCACCTTCATATTGGCAAGGATATTACAACGCCAGTAAAGCAGCCGTCAATTTGATTACTGATCAACTTCGTGTTGAACTCGAACCTTTTGGCGTCAAGGTCATTCTCGTGATCACGGGTGTAGTCAAGACCAAATTCTTCGATAATCAACCATCGGTAAAGTTACCGGAGAATTCTCTATATGCACCAGCGAGAGATATTGTTGAACGTGCTGCGGCGGGTGACGTTTTATTGGCTAATGCAGAGGATGTGGATGTTTATGCGAATAAAGTAGTGGAGAATGCTCTGAAGAAGTATCCACAGACACATCAGTTGGCTGGTGGAAGTGCTTACAAGGTCTGGTTTGTGTCAACCTTTTTGTGGTATAATATTTGGGTGAGTATTGAATCTTTCTAGGCAATGCAATACACTAATAGGCATTAGGATTGGATCATGCCCTCACAATGGAATATAGGAGAATTAAAGAAGAGGCTTTTGGCGGCCAAGAAAACCGAGTAGGTGTTTTTAAGAGAGTTGTTTTTGTATCGCGATATGGGGCTTAGCTTAGGGTCGCTAGGCGTTATTCGATGACCTAAATTTGAGTTATATCAAGCCAAATTATACTGCGCTCTCATATCCAACATGTTTTGTCCCTCGCCTCACCACATCCCCAGATCTTGGCAGCTTCAACAATCCTTAAGCCTTTCAATCCGTTCTTCCTACCAAGAAATATCATTCAATACCTCATCTCCTGCAAAATAAAACGTCTCTGAAAACCTCGCCAGCTCAATCCATCTCACCCCCACCTCTCAAATCAACCGAATAACATATCTCTACCCCGTGTATTGATCTCTCTCACTCATCCATCCCCAACAAACAATCTAGATTTCTTGCCCAATATCTCACTTCTCTCTCTTTCCTCTTCCGCTCGTTTTCCCTTGCCATGCAAAATTTCACGTATCTATAGTTCGAAAGTTCGATAGATAGGGAGGACACTTACTTTCTATCATTGATATCCTTCATTTCACATGCGTGTCGAAGTACATCTGAAGAGAAACCTCAGATGAATTCTATCCAAACACACAATATTCATCAATTGGATGAGAAGAATGGGAAAGTTCCTTTTACATCGAGAAACAGGGGAGTAACCTCATTTTCATGGTCACATTGCCCAGTTTATGATATATTTTCGAATATCAATGCAGTCTGATTAGCGTACATGGATCTATAAAAAGAGAAGTCTCTTCACAACCTTCTATCTACCTCCGCTCCTATAAGGCTATAATCATACCCGAAGAAATCTCAGCATAGTTTTCAATACACACATTCACCCGTCGATCCATCATTCTCAACACGAACACCATTCCCAACCATAGACACCATACCAACACTCGACCAGTCCCAATCCCAATCCCAATCACCACATTCTCCCAATGCTAGTATATTATCCTTCCGAATCTTGACTCCTGATCTGATACATACGTAAGATCACATTCCTATTATTTAGTCGAATACATTCATATGAAAGACCACCAGTCCGCTTTCTCCAATTTCTGCATACATATCCATCCTTCTATTCGTAAAAAACTACATCATGTGAAAGAATTCCATCTCTCCCGAGTGCGACTCACTCCGCTTCCAACAAATACTCCGCTGTGAAGTTAAATTTTGCAACGGGGTCCGATGAGATGATGTGATTGATGACTAGTTCTCCGGCTGTGGTGCCATCAAGATAAAGGTAGACTTTATCGTGAATTCTCGCCTCTTTGTAGGTTATCTAATCACGCATTATTATTTATTTGTCGTAGATGTTCAGGCTGAGAGGGGAAGTTGGTCGTTAGCCTATATATAAGTCAATAAGGAAATCTAGAAAGAAATACGTACTCCACTCCACGTACTCGACACGTATCCCTAAGCGCTCATCATCTACTAGTTGATATCCAGCAATCCAATCCAATCCCATCCCATCATATCATAGCATATCTTACTCCTCTCCTCCGAACTTCCCTCCAAATCATCACTAAACACCTCCCGAAAATCCAGACCTCACAGTCCAGGCCTCATTGTCCAGGCCTCATTGAACCAACTAGCAACTATTCGCATCCAAAATCCCCCACAGCTTTATTTATCCCCCCCCTGACTCAACCAAAATCACATTATCATTCAAATCAGTCCTTGATATTGAGCTAATTATACTGACCGATCTTACCTATATCTTCGGGGAGTATGGGACATGGGTAAGGTCCAACTTAAGGTTAGGGTTTTAGGGTTAGGAGTACCCCTGTCGAATACAATGGATTTATAGGCCCGGGGGATAATTACTGTCGCATAACAGGTTTCGAGAGGAGGTTTCGGATTAATATTGTACATGTCGCGATGAATGAAGTTGCAAAACCATAATATCCAACAATGCAAAAGTCCGGACTAGACTGCATCTAGCAAATTTCTCAAACTTTAAACGAATATACCGTGCCTTAAAAACCTCAAGATTCTCCATCTTTCAAATAAACCAAACTCACACTCCTGAATACATACATTCATTCATTCGATATTCCACAATAATCTCAAAATGAAACTAATTGATTTCAATATACCGAACAAGTCCAAGAGTCAAGAGTCAGAACCTCCTCATTATCGATGGACCTGCAATATGGACTATCGGAAATACATGTCTAATGCACACTCAGCTAGAGCACTTACTCCGCTATGTTTCTGCAATACCAATATCAACATCAATATCTGACAAGACTTGCTGTGCGTGACTACTTACTAGAAAAGACCATACATGCAGCTGTAAATATGATCCAGCTCCAAAGAACTGCACGGAATGAAATCGAATCACCTCATGTCAAGTCCCACATGCATCCATCATGAATTGTGCAGCTCTGTCTGAACATATCACGGTTTATAAATCATGTCGTATACATATCAACGATATATTATAGCATCCAGTGCCCAGTGCCCAGTGCCCAGTTTTCAGTGCCAAGAGACCAAGAGTATCGATATCCTATGAAATCATAACGCACAGTATAAGATTATTCATTAGTATCTAGCTAGTGATATGTGCAAATCCCATGCAACCAAGAAAGCAAACCCAGGAACATCAACGATAACCAAAACCAAAACCAAAATCATCGAGGTAGCAATATTACACACTGGGAGTTTATGCCATCCCGAAAACTCCTTCACCTGCCACCAAACGCCCATGACTGACAGCAAACAGTTTGCCTATAATCGAAATATGGATCAAATCAAATTATTACTTTGATAATATAGCTCCTTCATCAAGCCTCCTTATAACTTTGGCGGGTACACCACCCACAAGACAGTCTATACAAATACCAATACCGTAAGCAAGATGATTACCAGATCCGATTAATCGTACGCAAAGGAAGCGCGTATAATAAAGGACCAAGCTGAGCAGATTCAAAGAAGAAAAGCGCACCACTTACTTGCGTCAACATCCTTGACCACAACGGCTCCAGCCGCAACCGTCGATCCATCTCCAATAGTAACCCCTGCAACTATAATGACTCCCCCCCCAACCCAGCAATCGTCGCCGATAATTATTGGTTTGGCATACGATCCCTTTTGGCTTTGCTTTCTAGATTCAACGTCGATTTCATGCGTATCCGTGCAGATACAGACGCCAGGACCAATGAGAACACGATCACCGATTTTGACTGGCGCGCTGTCAAATATCGAAACACTGTTATGCCATGCTTAGTAATATCTTAGTTGGAAGCAATCACGCGACCTACTCCCTGTTGATATAGACATTCTGGCCATTAAAGGTGTTGCAGCCCCAGGTACAGAACAATGGCGCCTCGATATTCGTATCGGGGCCGAGTTTCCCAATAAAAGTCTTGGCCACGGCCATCCGACGCATTTTGAGATCATCGAGAGTATCTTCGTCATTAATGGAGGAGTCGTTGAACTTGAGTAGTTTCCGGCGGACATTCAACTTGAATTTCGGCATACGGTCGGCGAGACGTGCCTTGAAACTATACGCCACGAGTGTTAGTAATCGCGTTGATACAATGTCGAGTGAACATGTGCTGTACTGACTTCATCCCAGAGAGCATCTTCTTAAACTCATCACACATGGGCGCCCGAATGTCGGCACCATCGACCATTCGTATCAAGTTTTCGTTGAATTTTTCGGCTGCCATGGTGTTGTTTCTCTTTTGGAGCTAACTGGAAAAACAAAAGACATTTTCAAGGTTTATGAAGGCACTGCAGAAAAATCAAGGTGAATCACACCCATGTACTATACCCCGGATTCATATGGCGTGACTTATTAAATAAGGAAGCTTCAAATGTGCTCTATTTTCATATAGATACTACGCTGGCAAGAGGCGACGTGTTGATGAGTCGATATCAGAACACCAACCCAGACATCTAATATTGGCAGAAGTTGAGAAAGTACAGCCAGCCACTTGGCTTAAATTATGTCGATCGCATTTTCAAGATTAAAAAAGGTTCATTTATGAATCACAAAATTGAAAATCTCCCTCGTGCGACTCATTGAAGACAGAAATATAACTGAGTGTAACCACCCTTGTGTTGCAACCCCAGAAAAGGAAAGAAAAAATATTGCGGACTGAAATGAGGTTGATATTTTGCTGACCCAATACCAATACGTAGAGCCGAGTGTTCCCCTAAACGCCATGCTCCTGATATTTCAAAGCAACTATTCCTCACAATTCCTTATCCTTCTTCGCTTTTTTCTCGGGTCGCTCCAACAAATGTTCTCGGCCAGTGACAGGTGCATCACCGACGGCGGACTTACCACCGAAGGCCTCAAAGCCTTTGTGGAACACAAATTCAACTGCTTCCTCGACCGGCTTGTCAAACAAGAACGGTAAGGCGGGTACGGCCGCTAGGCCCAGACCTATTGGTCCGTATGTTCTAACCTTGACATTTTTGACATTCTTCATGAATTTTCCAGAATACCGCACAATAGAATGAATGGTAAAAGCGGGCAGACCTGGGTCACATTAGTGATAAATCTTTCGTGAAACCTTCCTAATATCAATATCGGCATGAATGAGGCATAGAAAATTAATGCACCTACCCATAGAAGCAAGACCTTGAAATATGGCTCGCTGTGCCATCACTGTCCGATAATCTTCCAGTGGTGCAACTTTACGAGGCTTTAGTGATACCTCCATTTCATTGGCGACTATCTTAAGATCCGTCTTTGCATCATTATATCGATCGTGCATTGCTTCTCGCGGAAGCTCCGGGTGCAGGACTTCCTGATTTCTGCAGTATGCCTTATAACCCTCATGAGTGACATCGCCAACAAGATAGGCCCATGAAACGCCATAAGCTGCTCGAACCCAGTTTGGATGAGCTACTGGTCGGAAAGACTCCCCAATATCTGAAGTGTAAGCTACATATCGTTGCGCGGATAATAAAGCTATCAAAAGTATCAGCCAAAATCCTAGTCCTTCCTACTCGTCGTAGAAGATAACTGACCTGTTCGTATGCGAGTGGCATATGCCGCATATCGAATATTGCTTTCAGTGGTTTGAGGAGCACTGCGACAAGATGATTAGCATCTTGTAGTGAAGAGTTGCACCTTCGTAGAGAAGAGAAGAGGATGCTCAAGAGAACATTCGCATAGGCACATACTATCCATCGTAAAGCTCATCGTAGAAGTTGTCCTCCTTGTCCGATTTATCCACAATCTTTTGTAGTCCATCAGGAAGCTTCTCCGCATTAGGTAAACCTGTTGGGAGTGGACCTCGAGAGCTATTGTTATCCTTTCCAGCCATTTCGTATTAGTGCTGATAGTGTTATATTATAATGAGTAAGGTTAATGAAGCATTAAATAGCTTTAGAAAGTAGGTAGCTTGTTTGCAAAATGATCAACGTTGTAGATATCGAAAGGTATCTCTCCCTCTGCCAGCTTCCTCCTAGCCTTCATAAAGTCGGAAGAATTGATTAAGTATTACCCGGTGTTCTCGTCCAATCCTGGGTGAAATGACGGCTTGGTGCACACTAGTGGGGAAGGGGGAGGGGGTAGTCCCTAGCACTAGCACATCTGGGCAAAAGGTGGAGTGGGAGCGGAAGTTCCAGCTTGCTTTGTTTCTCCTCCGGAACGGGAGACTATCGGCATCTCGGAACCTTTCGGTAGGCGCTTGCGCTTAAATCGCCTAGCTTGTGAATTTGTATGGCAGCTCCAACTCGATCAATCTATATTGTTACTATCACGAACCTATATTCCGACACCGCAATCCTATCCGAACAATTCTCGATACAGTCAAATCCTCGAACTCGTCATCATGGTTTCTTACTACCAAATCGCCGGAAAGCAAGTTGGCTCCCACTACGTAGGTGGCCCCTCTATTCAAATTCTCCGATTTTTCCTTCATCCAATTGAGCAAACCACGAACTGGGTAGACGTCGAGAAGCATTGCTGACAGGAACTGTGTTATTAGCTAGCAATGGCTGTTCTTGGTTCTCTCGCTGGAGTCATTACCTTGTCCACTCGTGGTGGATCCACCGCAAAGCAACAATCAACTCCACCAATTAATGCCAAAAGCCCAGATGAGGAGAAATACATCAAGTAGGTTCAACAAGGGGATTGGATTCTTTGAATTCGCAGATTCATACGATTTGCATGTTCTGACATTTTCTAGGGACTTTATGGCAAGCATCGAGGGCGGGAAGAATGGTTCTACCACGAAGGATGCCGGAAGATAAAGGATATATGATGATTTGAGAATGAGATTTGGATTTTTTGCCAATGGACTTTACAGGTGTGGCTGTAGATATAGAACGCAGTCATGAATGCATCAATTCAAACAGGCACCTATGTTAAGGCCCGAAATCCAATGCTCTTCCCAATATCCCATACACTCATTGCAGTTTCCAGCCATGGATGAAAGTTTAGGCCGGGGGACTCTAATTTGTCAAACAAGAACGTCTGAACCGATAAAAACACAACTCCCGCTGCAAAACACGGTGTTTATTGGCATCTAGATTTCTCGACTCTGGATATACTGAAGGACCATTGGCGGTCCGGGCTGCTCATCATTATATTTTCTTTTTCATGATTTGGACTATTTGAGGACATTCTCATTCGATGGTTGACCAGCTCATTAGCCATTAGTACGGTTGCATTGGCTATATTATTACTAAACAGACTTCACAGTATCGAACACATGCATCGTTCAAATCAGCTCTATCTGAACGGTTTACAGCATTTATGGATTCTTGTAGCACGATTCCAATTACGATATTCTGACGGCAGTCACCCAATGCACGACTTCACTTTGTAATTCAATAATCTTACCTTGGCTATTTTAAAAAGAGGAATTGGCGGCGTCATTCTCAATCACTAGTGTGCAAAGAGACATGAGCTCCTTTTGGAAGTGTGAATACTTTTGCTAGACGAATGCTTCGCAATTAGAACATGTCTTACTCCCTATTTTCCCAGGTGAATTAGCCGTTCAATCCCCCGATCATACTTTTTAGCTATCTAGCTTAAGATTCGAATGATCTGTACTGGCCTTTTTAATGTCAGCCATCTTAGGCGGAACATCGTTCACATAACTGTGAATTTCCATAAAGTTAAGTAAAATATATAACGTTCAGACAAACGTTACGTGTACAGATGCCACGGCCAGCAAAACCACCCATCCCATATCATAAACGTGAGCTAGAGTGATAGTAAAGATCTTTAGTCTGAGTTCACGTGTGATTGCCGGCATGAGATTGTTTGACCGTTGCAAGAGTGTATTGTTATATCGATCAAACTTTGCTGGAGTTGCTGGTCGGCGATATTCCTGATTTTAGCTCGTTGAATGAATCTCGTGCAGAATTGCATGTCAGGGCGGTACATGGAATGGTCATTTATATCTTGTCGAGGGATTCTTTGAGGCGCAATACATCTATAATGTTACTTGGAGGGTTCAAATCATGTCACATGTATTGGATAGGGTCCCGGTATTACATATCACCATAAAATACATTATATTGGCACATGTACGATGCGAGCCTTGGGTAATCATTGCATTTCACCAAGCACTCTTCCTTGTCATCACACTGCTACCATCACCATAATCAAATTCCTTGCCAAAGATATCTACTGATATTACTAACAACTCTCTTCATCCTTGCATTTATTCAGTCACTAACAAAACAAATCAAATAATTCAATATTACTTCCAAGCTTTTGCTCCGAGATTTCAACTTTCCATACCCAGTCCCAGTCCCTGAAATCGAATACTTTCAAACCCGCCCATGAATTTGTGCACGAACTCCTTCCGCTAGAAGATCTCATCGCAACAAGCATTTAATATGATAGTCGACAGTGTCAGTAGCGTAGAACCCTTCATCGACGATTTGTAGGAAATCCAAGGCGACAAAGCTGAAACGGCTCTGTAATGGGGAAACCCAATTCGAACATTGAAGCGCGATTTTTCAAGCTCATAAATTAGATATTGGGACTTCAGTGTGCAGGATTGATGTAAGATGGTAATATTCAGCTATGAGAATCCTTTCCATACTCGTGAGACCAAGTATATGGGCAGATATTGTAGATAGGGTAGGAAATAATATTAGAGAGTATTCGGTAAGGTATACCATTTCATTTCGCGGAAATCTGAAGAGGTTTCGTACATGTAGTCGAGTACAATGGCTAGTTGAATTGCTGAAGAGAATCAATCACTTTGTCATGTTGGAGATTATGATAATATATATACTTCCTCCAACGACGAACCACGTCTGGGAGCTTGATATTGAATTATGGCCCGACCTACCGCACTCACTGTACACTCTTGACACACCGAACTACTTAGGTGAAGCCATAGTCCGAAGGGAATTATAGGGGTAATCTCATCTTTCTCTGACTACTGATCTTTCTCTGACTACTGATTCTGAACGAGGCCCAAGAACCTAGCATTCACACCTGAACTGTGGGTTAGTACTTCACCAAAGATATGATTATATCCTCTGCAATACATAAACATCAATATGATTGTTCTCGATACAAATAATGACTTTGAGATTATTCACAACTCCGCAGCCGTAGTAAACCCGTTTGTTCAAACCTTGGAACAATAACCTAATCATAGCCTCCCACTACCACTCCCACCACCTCTTTTATAAAGACCGCCCTCCGTCCCACTTGCCCACTTTACAACTTCGACATTATTTGAAACCAGCAGTCGATATAGAATTCATCAAAATGCCTTACTTTTCGACCTTGAGCGATACGATGTGGTTTTGCTGCCACAAGCAGTCAAGCAGCTATCTTGGAGTGAGTTTTTACTTCAAGATTCGAGGAGTCGATCACATGCTAACTTCAGAGTCAAGTGCCCTAAACGTAACAAGATGAAGTCAAAGAAATGCGAGACGTGTTCTCATGAACGGTGCGAAAATTGTAAGGTGACGACACTAAGCTTAAGCTGTTGAGCAAAGAGCAAAGGTGCATTCTTGAAGGATATGAAGAAACAACGGGAGATTTGATTCACAATAAGAATATGGTGTATTTCAATTGGTTGTTGGTCGAATGGTGTAGATGTTTTCAAAGGGTAGTACAGAAATCTGCGTCCACCAATTTTGCACTTACAGGTCAACATTTGGTAAGAGGGCGACTTCGTACCTCAACTGGATATAACAATCTGAATTTTCGAGATAATCTGTTCGAGGAATCTTCAATCTCTTCATTCTCCACTTACACCGTAATGATAATTTCCTCTCGCATGCTTTGGTTAGTTACAGATAATACCATCTTATTAAACCATCGTTCATGAATATTCAACATCAATGCAAACATATGCGCCCCGAGCCATAATCCGTTGGCGGTATCATAATATCCTAACGCCATAATGTGCATTTCTTGCAAGGTAAATACCTCAGAACGATGGGATGGCTCGCTCGAGAGGGTCTCTTGCTGTTTCCCATGCTAACCAATCCGATCTTGTAGTCCTGTAAAGCCATTAGCTTTGATTCCTCAACCATTCGGAGGGTAACTTACGGTAACAATCCCATCCCATTGACCTTCCATATTCCCAACCCCAAAGCTAACACTTGACACGCAACATACGCCAATTTAACTAGGCCCAGTTGCCCTCTCGTTCCTTCACTCTCGAAACGTTCAAATGCTTGATTCGTGGCCATAAGTCCCATCAAAGGATTTTTGAACGCCATAACCACCATCATAATGGAAAATATCTGAAGAGAGTTTCCCGACATATACATCATAATCGCGGTCATTGGAAGTTGTTTGACAGGGGCAAGAGCCACTTCCCAAGCCTTCTTGACCTTGAGTGTGTCCATTTCGGCGGGAGTGGGAGCTTGTCGTGGAGCTTTGGTAGTTTGTTTCTGAAGAAACACAAACATCAGCAGATGATCAACAGATAGATGGGTAGAAGTTACTTACTCGACTTGACGATGAGGAGGCTGTATATCCTGGAGGGTCTGGAATACCGGCAGATCTTGGTTTCGATATTGGTGGAGTATTAAGATCTAAAACCCATTGAGGAGGGGGGGGGAAGTGATGAAGTCGTGATTGTCGACATTTTAATTTGTTACGATATAACGTTCTAATAGTAGAAGATAGAGTGTATTCTCTTGAATATTGTTGTCGTCGCAAGGTCGTATCGGGTTATTAAGGCAGGAAGTCCAAATAGCATTCATTGATTGCTGCTATATTCAAGAAATAAGCTTCGCGCGCTAGCCTAAAGCCGTGACCCCGAGCTTAAGGTTACTAGAGCCACCCCTTTTGGTGATCTTTACCTCGTTCCCAAAGTCCCGTTTTGAGCTTCCACGAAACATCAACATTTGATAAATTATATCTGCGGAATTTGAAAGTCTCGAAGTCAATGGAGAGATATTTGCGACAGAGCCAAATGATATACTGCAGGTGATTGTGGCGCATTATCAATATACCCTGCGGTGTGCCGCCTTGGGATACGAACGATCTCAGTGTTCGAGGAATTTCCTACGAGTTTGAATTAGGAGGGATTGCCGTGTACGATTGAGGTACAGCGACAAAGTCACCATACACGTAAGGAATTGAGGTTCGCACATTATGAGTTCAGGTGGAGGAGATGCGAAGCTCTTTGCAAGGGTATGTATGTCCTTTGGATTCATTCTCATACACTTTCAGTGTCTTCTACATATCATATGCGCCTCATTTCCCTTTTATGTGCTCAACCGAGCTGTTGCATATTTGTAGCACCTAAGATTCTTGGAATCTCATCGTCTGGATAAAGTCAAGGTTCCCTGATCTCGGAGTTCACGATGAAGGCGCATTCTGCGGTTATGTTTTTCCCTCACTATATACCATCATCCGGATATGGATCAACTGGCTCACTCTATAATCGTTCTCCACAGGGCAAAGTCGCGGAATTAAGATTAGAATTAAATAGTGGTGGGAAGAAGGACAAGAACCATGCCGCCAAGAAGATCGCTTTGAAGAAGATTGTGGCCAATATGACCATGAGCAACAACGATATGGTCGCTCTGTTTCCGGATATCGTTGGCTGCATGCAAATACAGAGCTTAGAGATCAAGAAGATGTGAGCGGATTAGCATAGTGCCGATCGCGCGAATTGATGACTGATGTGGATACAGGTGCTTTTTGTTTCTGGTTAACTATGCTCGTATGAAACCGGATGTCGCTGTCAAGGCTCTGCCTACTTTGCAAGAGGTAATTTGTCTATTTTGCACTGCTATGCTTAAGCTGACCAACGTCAACCAGGACATCAATGACACAAATCCTCTTGTGAGAGCTCTTGCCTTGCGCACGATGTCGTATATCCATGTTCGAGATTTTGTCGAAGCCACAGTACCACCCACAAAGCAGCTCCTTCGAGATGCAGACCCGTATGTTCGCAAGACGGCGGCTTTCTGTGTTGCAAAATTATACGATCATGACAGGCATTTGGTTGAAGGCTCAGATCTAATTGACAGGCTGAACTCGATGCTGAGGGACGATAATCCGACGGTCGTGGCTAGTGCATTGGCAAGCTTAATGGATATCTGGGAGAGGAGTGATGCCATAAAACTCACTATTGACTACGGAAATGCTTCGAAGATGGTTCAAATTCTCCCGGACTGCTCCGAGTAAGTATCCATCTTCAATTTCAAATGTTGTGACTAACAATAGCAGATGGGGCCAAACATATATTTTGGAAGCATTAATGTCATATGTTCCACAAGAGTGCTCCGAGGCGTTGTTGCTAGCGGAGCGAATATCTCCACGTTTATCACATTCAAATTCTGCAGTCGTCCTTACGTGTATAAGGGTAGTTCTGTATCTCATGAACTATATTAATGATCAGAAACAAATTTCGGCATTATGTCGGAAGCTATCGCCTCCTTTAGTCACTTTATTGGCGAAGGGTCCGGAAGTTCAATATCTGGCGTTACGGAATGCATTATTGATATTGCAAAGAAGGCCAGAAGTTCTACGAAACGATATCCGAGTATTTTTCTGCAAATATAATGACCCAATCTATGTCAAAGTTACCAAACTGGAGTTGATCTTCATGTTGGCGAATGAAAAGAACATTCAAGAGGTTCTTACTGAATTGAGGGAATACGCCACAGAAATTGATGTCCACTTCGTCCGCAAATCAGTACGAGCAATCGGAAAGCTTGCTATTAAAATCGAGCCTGCGGCTAGACAGTGTATCAATACGCTGCTAGAGCTAGTGGCTACAAAGGTCACATATATCGTGCAAGAAGCAACGGTAGTGATTCGAAACATTTTCAGAAAGTACCCCAATCAGTACGAGTCCATCATTGGTACATTGTGCGAGAATCTGGATTCGCTAGATGAACCCGAAGCTAAGGCTGCCATGATCTGGGTCATTGGACAATATGCCTCTCGAATAGAAAATTCTGATGTTTTGCTTGAAGATTTCCTCTACTCATTTGCGGATGAGCCAGTGGAAGTTCAACTTGCTCTTCTCACGGCCACCGTCAAGCTATTCATTCAAAGACCAACGAAAGGACAAGAACTCGTTCCTAAAGTATTGAAATGGGCCACAGAAGATACAGATAACCCAGATTTGCGAGATAGAGGCTATATGTACTGGCGTCTGCTATCCTCAGATATGGCTACAGCAAAAGCCATTGTTATGGGCGAAAAGCCGCCTATTACTGCTGAATCGGAGAAACTCGACCCTGCCACCCTTGAAGAAATGTGCCTTAACGTTGGGACTCTTGCTACTGTTTACCTAAAACCAGTGCAGCAAGTGTTCCGATCGGCCCGGCCTCGTCGCCTCACAGACTCGCCTGCTTTACAAAAGCAACATCTTCCAAATGCGAATTTGGATGCACAGAAATCGCTTTCCGCATTTGGAAATTCTCAGCCTATAATGAAGCCCAACGGACAAGGCGATCTCTCTGCTGCGGTCGATGCAGCAGATGCCTTCTTTGCTGGAGTTGGTCAACAAATGGCAAGTATGAATTTGAATGGGCAAGATGAAGGATTTGGTGGTAGTCCTACCGTCGGTCGAAGCGAGATGCAATATGTGGTTAATCAGAATGCACCAGAGCAGGTTTATCAACCTGCTGCAGGACAGGGTTCCAATGGTGATTTGCTTATGTTTAATTGAAAGTTCTTAGCGAGTTATTTCTGCTATTATTTGGGGAGGGGTTCCAAGGTTATACATATTTGTAGTTGATATATCAAAATGCATAAGGATTTTCTTCTTCGTTAGAAATTTGGGGTATCTCATCCTTTGGGAATTGCTGGTGCAGTGCACTTTGAACTCGTCTTCATCGTTTGGTATTCTTATTATTGGTTGAACACCCACTTATTGACATAACACATGGTGGAATGAGAAATCACTGTAGATGGATTAATTACTTTCTGACTGTTCATCCCTCAAATGTTTAGACGCAATCCCCTTATCTCAAACAGAAGTCCTCAGCTCGGCGCTGGGTGACTTAGTATATTGTCTATAAAACCGATTTGGATGCAAATATTGTAATATCAGTATAATATTTCGACAAACTAGCTAGCTTCCTTCCTTTCTGCTGAACTATCAATTCTGCGATATGATGTGCTACAAAACTCTTTTTGGCTGGGGTGTTTCGTAACTTGTATATTAGATCTTTTTGACTAACTATTCTTGATCCTGGTTGAGTTAGTCTATATTATTTTATCCCTTTATCTTTTTATACGATAATATAATATAGAGGAGTTTTCTATGCTATTTATACCCGCTACATTATTATTTCCGAGTTTTGCGAATGCATAGCGTTGGTGTTGGCCATTTCTTTTTTTTTTTTTGGCTCAGAGAGAATGATGATCCTTCTGTATTATGGTCTGACTTCATATATTGATATAAATTTGGATTGGAAATCTGATTCGAAGTTCTTTTCGGTATACTGATATATTGTAAAAAATTATTGCCTATTAGGACTGACGCTCTATGAACTACTGACATTTCTCCATTGCAGAATATGTGTTTGCACCATATCATGCAAATACCTCATTATCGATTTCTACAACACTTTACTTAGCTGACTGCACCTTCCCGTATCTTCCTTCCAACGGCGACTTCTGGGCGCAAGCCTCGGTTTCCCGCGCAACTCGATACATCTAGTGAACCTAACACCGCCGCTCTTCCCATCACCACTTCTACCAGCTTTTTGTCATATGTCTCCACTCTCGAATTCTTACACACTCATTGTCAATCATTTAGCACTTGATACAAACCATACCTTGTCAAATCGTTTATTTCTGCATCTGTATCTCAAGATGAGAAAATTGGTAATGAGAGGGGTATTGGACGCTAAACCAAATGAGGAACCTGAATTTCCTAATATTCTATCTATCCTGCGGCTAATGCACCAAAGTCACATATTCTGGAGCGAGGGAATAGGGGATAAGTTATAGTGTAAGTCTACTTCTTCTGTGTGTTCTTTGGGTATCTTCAGTCAGGGTGTCAGTCCTTCCTGTCTAAATTTATTGAGGGCTCCAGTTATGCATCGAAATGACTGCTCTGCGTTAACTTTGAAGTCATGAAACCCCATGACTGAATTCTAATATTTCCTCTTTGTGAAAATTTAGGGGTTTCGATACAATAGAGAAGAGTTGTAAAGATTCTTCTTTAGGGTATCCGCTGATTTGCATATGGCATTTGACAGTTAGCAGAAATGCGATTTTGTGTTGTAATGCAGCCTCCCAATACAGAAACTCGGATGCGGTGCACCTCACCTCCAAGGAATATCGATCCTTTCCAAGTTATCGAAAGTGACAGAAATTTCTTTGCATTTGAGTGTTTGCTTGTATTTCTGAAAATGAGGCTGTCCAAGAAGCAAATGCGCATTTACTAGAAATTCAGATACCCGTACCAATAGCGGTCACTGATTTTATCAGAACTCGAAATTGTTTTTTTTCCTGGAATACTAGACTGCAAAGTTTCTTCGGCTCAATTCTGGGATCGGGAACTTGCATAAGAAGCGTGTTTATCGAATGTGAACGAAACTCATGGATTGACACTCTTCTTGATATCTCAGATAATCAGAAAAGGCCCAAGCTATCCAAGATTATAGGGCATCTATTTAAACCGAAAGAATATATACCTTTGCATATCAGCTCTGAAATCGAAGCTCTCAAAATCACAACGCATGGTGCCTGATCCTTACATATTCAACAAGAATTTGAGACGCCCTACAAATATCAGAATTCCGGATACATACCAAGGACTGGAGCCAGCAATCAAAATGGCTGGATTCCTCTCAACCCTTCGAAGAAGTTGCAAAACCCTCTTCGCATCCTTCAACACCACTCTTTCCACCCTAAAGAGGTGGTTCCATCGTGAAATCACCCCGACACTTCAAGATATCGCTTCCACTATCCATGATTTATATCACAACTACATGCGCCCATTCGTATTACGCAGTCTTCGATTCGTCTGCGACCATCCTTTTGCCATAGCCATCGGAATTTTGAGCATCATCGCTATTATCTATCCTGGCGTCATTATTACACTACTTCTCTTCATCTTGGGTTTTGGGGTTTTGGGTCCTGCTGCTGGTATGTAATCTTACTATCAAGATCCATCTTAACATACTCTGGTTCTTCTCTTGGGCTTCCTTTGCAAGATACCTGTTAGGAGAGTAAAATTTTTCTAACATAGATGTACAATAGGTTCCATAGCAGCGTTGATACAGGCGCTTATCGGGAATGTCTCTGCGGGTAGCCTGTTTGCGATGTTTCAGAGTGCTGGTATGGCTGGTTTTGGATTGATGACACTTCATGGCGTCGCTATTTGTATTCCGGTTTTGATTCTGTTGGCGGTGTTGGTGTATTTGGTTGTAGTATGGCGGCTGGAAATGGAAAGGGTGAGGGAAAAGGAGAAGACTGTATGAACTTTGGAGTGGTACTACATTCAGATCGGGTGAGATAAAGCTATACTGTATCGTTCGAGGAGGAAATTCTTGGGGGAATTTGTAATGGGATGAGATGGATGATAGGGCTTACTGGGCGCTATGTAGGCTAGGCGAAAATAGGGGCCGGAATTTGTATTTGGGAGGTTATATTAATATTTCATTACTTCTGAACATTTGTAACGGAACAATACAATATCTTTAGGAATTCATGATTTGGTGTACTACAACCCGCCAGCCTATTCGCTCATGTGGAATACGGGGCTCTTCCATTGAGGTTGAAAATGTTAAGTCAGGGTACGAAAGCTAATGGTCGATACAATAATGAAAACCTAGTATCTCAAAACGTCATTGAACTCACAGAACATCTCTCCACCCATTTTCCGCTTCTCCTCATACCCCTTTCTACCTTCCAAGTCCTCCTTTTCGTCACCCTTCCCCAATTTCAGGAATATCTCATCCCATTCTAACCATCTCCCTCTTCCACTCCCGACGGACCAACAGACTCGGCCTCATCACTATACATCTCTTCCCGTCCCCTGCCTATTCAAAAATCCCCTTCTCCACTTCCTTTTCTTATCCTCATGCATAGTTAGTTTTTCCCAAATAATCCAACATAATCATCAGACAAGGATTACTCCTCTCTTTCCTATCAATCCCTGTCCTACTCACCACAATTAGCTTTGTCTTCACATTGTCTATTCCATAATTACGCTTCTCCAATCCAAGTTTATAAGGATACTTTCAATACCATCACAGCAAAGCAAGTACTCGGATCCGACTAACTATTTCAATAAAGATCAAACAAAGGAGAAAAAAAGGAGGGAATGGGGTAGAAAAGTCTTCAGACCATGGGGCACACAACATCTCCACCACTTGAGTTGACAGTGGAGAGCATCCCATTGATCTAAGACCAGCAAGCTGCATTGGCAAATCCATGATAGAATCCGATTCGGGCTCTACTTGTGGTTGAAACTTCAGTCACATTCACACACGCCCATCCACATAATAGAAATACTCGAGTAGAAGATTTCATAGAGCCAGTGATGGCATTATCCAGTGAAAGATCGAATTATGGACATGATTTTGTCTCCGACTGTATCATAAGACCGTTGGCAGCATTTGTATTGCGCTTCACTTGATGTAAACACCTGATACCTCATACCTCGAATGAAAACTAAGACTTCCATTGAAAATTATGTCAAATGAGGTTATTTGATAACACTATTTCATTATATGATGATTATAAATCCAATATTTAGTTCTTCGAAGTGTTGGTGGTGTCTTTATCCCTTTATCCGAGCTTTATCCGAGAAATCCAGCTAAACAGCCCACCTCTCGTCACTCAATCTCAATACTGATAGCTTCCTGGTCTAATATTCGAATCACTACGTTTACACATTTCGACATACAAAGGAAATTTTTAACTCAGACATAATCTCGAAAACGTACCCCTCACCTCTACCAACTCCATATCAGGAACATATATATCCTCATAATGGTAAGATCTCCCTTCCCACTCATTCTCAACGCGCGCAACTAGCAACTAACCATTCGGATCAATCTAGTCTTCAGAATCCCGCCTCTACACATTCACCACCGAGACCAAAGCTCATCTGCGCAAATTCAGACTTGGGACTTCGCGCGCCAATGATCCACAAGCTGTTATATGTTTGTCTCCCTTCTTTCTTCCTCGTATTATCTGCAACCTCGATGATTAGACACGAATTGCTTGCTTCACCACCTTTGTAGAATCTACAGGCCATTTATGTGACAATTTTCATTGGTGTTCGAAGGGACATGGAAACTTACTGCAATGTTGCCAACTTGCACAGCTATATAGTGAAAAGAATATCTGCTAATACTCTTTTGCCCTTAAGATCTCATCGATAAATCCACCCTCGAAATAAAACAAGATGAAGAAGGAACCGTATACAAAAATCTTGAACCCATAGGCGACGACCTCCCAGATCATTCACCTCGATTCATTCTACTCAGTTATCCATGCACCCTCGTACATTTCCCCTCCCTCCCTTCTCCCACCCAACAAAACTAACTTACCAACCCCAGCCCTCCGGTCGTCTCTCCGTTCCCTACGTCCTCATCTTCTACCTACCACCTACGGTCAACGCCGAACAACGTATGTTATACGCGGGAGCCAAAGAACTCATGAGGAATACCGCGGAAGTGAGCAAGGTGTTGGAGATTGAGAGTGTGGAGGATTTGGAAGAGATACCTGATAGACTGAGGGGAGACGATAGATAAATTATGAGTTTTGGATGGGTAATAAGATGGCGATTTCTGCCGCGATTTGGAGAATGCCTGGTTGGGTAGTTTGAGCTCTGTCGGTAGGGCTTCTATATTGGACATTACATTTTTGTGGTCCATGATTTGGGAATGCATTTAGCAAGCAAGGGATCTGATATGAATGATTTTGGGTTGAGTTTAGGTCATATCCGGGATTGGATAATATGACGAGAGTGGTGGCTGAAAGATATAGGGCATGTGTGTGTAAACATACCTTGGTTCTCTATTTAGACAGGACGATGTAGGAAATATGCATATATATGCATGGTAGAACACTCCATACTCACAAACGGATTATGGGTCATCAAACTTACCACCAAACCTCATGACCTACAAAAATCAAACTATTCCGAGTATTGTTTATATCCTCTTCCCATTAAAAGCGTTTACTCTACTCGAGTACACTCGGAAGATTATATCCCGCATTGCTCAAAGCTCACCGGGAGACTGGAGACTGGAGTCGAGAGAGATCGAATCTTATATTCCAACCACTGATTCTTGTCAAAACCCTAGTTATATGAGTAATTGTATTGGATCTTGTTGTAATGTGTTGTAATGCGAGCTGAGGGGTATACGTATAGGTATAGCTATAGCTATAGATATAGGGAATTATAATATTTAAATAGGTATGCATAATTCATTAATCTTTATATGGCCGTGTTCCGTTTCCCTGCCGATCTGATATGAATATATCTTCCGATGATTGCAAACGTGCAAGATAGCATATATCATGATCAACCAACATATCCCACCACGCATCCTAGCATATTCCTCTAATCCACCACCCCATCCCATCCCAACCCCAAACCTCCAATCCCTTATTCAACCTCCCTCGCATTACCCTTCTCCAAACCCCCCACATTTACATCCTCCGCCGACTCTCCCTCTAACCCCCCATTCCCCCGCATCTTCCTCATACTCTTCTCAATCGTATCATGACCCGCCGCCGCTGCCAAATCGCTATCTTGCTGAACATCAAAACTCCTCTTCAAATACTCCGGCCCCACAAACGTCAACAGAATCACATATACATACACGCAACTCATGAAAATACAAATGACCTTTCCATATTCAAAGCGAGCCGTTTTACCTTTAGGCGGGAGAGGGAATTTTTCCCCGAGTTGGGCTTCGATGGTGGAGCTCGCTGAGGATACGAGATTTCCGAGTTGGTAGGCGGTGCCGACGACAAAGGTGCGGAAGGAGCCGGGGGACAGCTCCATGAGGTGGATGGGGATGACGCCCCAGGCACCTTGCACGCAGAATTGTTCGAAGAAGGCGGCGGCGATGACGGCGCTGGAGGAGGTGTAGGTGTATGGGTAGAGGATGGCACCTCCGATGATGGAGATGAAAATTATGGAGAAGCGACGGCCGAAGATCTGGGAACAGTAGCCGATTAATGTACCGCCGGTCATGGCGCCCAGGTTGGCGACGACTTGGATGACGGTGATGGCATTGGGTGAGAAGTTATATTGATTCTTGAGCATGGTGGGGTAAAGATCTTGGGAACCGTGGGACTATGGTTAAATTAGTATGATGAGGTTACTGTGATTGGTAGAGGGAGAATTTACCATGAAGTTAAAACCGGCCATTAAAAGTACCAAGTAGATCAACAAGAGCCAATGCTCCTTCAAAGCGACTTTTCCTTCGGCAATAAAAGTGGCTCCGATATTACCTCTTTCATTTCGAACGAGCATACGCTCATTATATGCATCTGTCTCGGGAAGGCAAAGACGGAAGATAATGATGAGAACAGGTGGGCAAGCCCCGAACCAAAACAGAGGTCTCCATCCATGACTCGTGGTATTTACCAAGCCTCTTGCAAAAGCTGTAGCGAGAAGATAACCAAAGGCGTATCCTTGTTGAAGCATACCAGAAATCAAACCACGAGCTTCTTCGGGACAATCTTCGAGCGCAGTGGCGGCTGCGTTCCCATACAATCCACCCATTGCAATACCGAACAGAGCTCGGCATGCGAGAAATTGCTTATAGGTTTGACAGAAACCGGTACCGAGTTCGAGGGCGATGAAGAGAAGATTGTTGACGATGAAGGGCCATTTTCTACCGTATCTATCTGCTGCGAGACCGAAGAGGATAGATCCAACAGATCGCAGCATAAGGACTAATGTAATACCCCATGTGATGTCCGTAGTGGTCTTATCGAACTCCTCTGCAAGATCCGAGACTGTGAGACTGACGGTGAAGAAATCGAACGCATCCCAGGTCTAGAGGTAAGCGTTAGGTTAGCGGAAAAAGGGTTATCGTTCTATGGGTTGAAAACTTACCCAGGCAATGAATCCAACCAGGAAGAATAGCCATTGTTTTCCACTCAACATAGCCAAAAGTCTGAAGGGATTTGGAGCTTGGTGCATAGGAGGCTTAAGTGTAGAAACTCGGGTCCTGGCATATTCTCCAATGGACATCTTCTCGGGAGAATGAGATTCGATAGCTTGGCCATCATGATTTGGAGAACCGTAATGGTCTGCCATGTTGAGTTTATGGGTCTGCAAAAAAACTATTAGCTTCTAATTTGGAGAATGTTTATTGCGATGGACAAAGTTAAATGTGTGTGATAACCGTCGCCTCTCCTGTTTTCTTGAAGTAAATATGGGATGAAGTAGCTTTCTAGCAATGAGGAGATTGAAGAAGCTATCGATTGATAGGTCGACTTACGAGATGTTGTATTCACTCCAGCTGAAGAGAACTACGAAGCTCACTTCAACTAAATATAATTGGAGAATGAAGATATAGGTAGGATAAGAATAACCGTGAAACGAGGGACGGAAAGGTACCTACTTATCTGTATTTCGTCCGATACCGCCCAAGTAGCACAAGGAAGTGTTCCAACAGTTAGACAACAACTTTTACGACCCAGCCGTAGTTGTCCCATCTGCTAATCATGGATACATGCATGCTTCCACCTCCTTCCCGAGGACTTCTAATTCATCAGCTGATAATCTTAGCGTTCAGAAGACGTTTGAATGTTACTTTCCTCGACACTAGATCCTGGCTCTCCCCGCATGGAGAAATGGGGGAAGTGGAACATAATCCAGTGGAGGAGCTTATGCCAAATGAGGGCCTTCTCCCGATGGCTTGTTAATCCTGGTTTAGGTATTGTTCTTTGCTGCTTGCTCCTTGCCAAAGCTCGGTCGAAGCTGCATGTGCCAGGTGCCAGTATCTAGCTTACCTATACACCAGTAATGTGCTCCACGTCGTGAATATAATTACAAATAAAAACTTCTCCAGGTTTTAAAATGATTTCGTGATGACATCTCCATATGGGGAAGTTATCCAGCCGCATTAGCTTGACGCTGGAGGAGACTAAAAGATAATAGACCATAAGTTCCCCAGCCTTGATTCATCCGGGGAAAGTCTACCGAGAGTGATAAGCCAAATTCCTCTCCCCGAAACTACGAATAGCTTCCAAGTCCAAATATTCTTCAATATACAATATGTGAATACAATATTGACGAAGTGATGTGATGGAATTGTGGAGTGTATAATTTTCGAGCAATCGACTTCCATTTCGCTATCGTATTGTACAGGACAATAATTGAATCTGGTGACACTCCTTGCTCATAATGGCGTTCGTACTCAATACCCGGTCAGCATTGGCGCTTCGATGTAGGTGAGAGAGCTGAGTAATTTCGGTACTTTATGATTTGAGTTATCTTCAAGCTTTTATTTCCAAGACGGAAGGCTTTGATAATAATTTAAGGGTTTTCTTACCCGAAGAATATCTTGGGGAAATTCGAGGGACATAATTTTCCTGTAGGACGACGTCGGAATAAGTGATGCCAAGTAACTTGGACAACTTCTTGTCATCTGCCAGACTTGATTGAATTGTGGATGTCGTTTAGATGTTTATGAAGATCTTCCTGGGGATTTCTGTTTTGATCTTTTTGACAAGTCTTGCGTACTCGAGTTAATCTTCTTTTGTTTTGGCGTCTTGGTATTGCTGGGTAAAAAGGTTGGGGCAGAGGGGTAAAGTGGGGTGAATAGTCTGGGGAAATTCTAGTAGTTGTCTTGGACCCGAGAGGAGAGAGCTATCAAATTTCGAATACTGTGAGTCTCTACTGAGTAGCCATTTTCAAAAACGATCACAAGCATCAACATTGATGAACATTGTTATTGAATAATTAACTGTACGATATCAATCTTACCACACTTCTGGATACTATAACGTAGTACCGGGGTAGTTCTAGATCCAAAATTCGTTAGATTCCCCTTCATTTCAAGCAACTTCAAGCGAAGATAACAAATGGGACGAATTGTACGAGTAAGCTGATAAGATGAAAATAGACCTGTACTTGATGTATGATCTTGCATCGATGCCTAATCTCCTAATCGACTTTTTATCTTTAAGATTATGATTAATCTGGAGTTATAGAGTTTGTATTACCCAAATGAACCTGAAATCGGTTGATAGAAACACCTACCTCAGCATATATATATGACTTGGGATTCTTCATTGAAGCTAAAAAATCTGTTTATACTCGAAAAATTAGATAAATTTGAAGTTGGAGCCTGGAGTTGCAGGACGCTTCTCCAAAGTAGTATGGTATTAGGTGGTGTTGAGTACCACCATCCACATCCGGAGCAGCTTTTTAGGAAGTTACTTGAATCAAATTCCTTCACGACAATCATTCCTCTCTACCAATGTTTACCTACACATCTGAAATCGTGTGCGAAATCGTGTGCGAAATCACTCAAGAAACTCGCAATTGTTACCGTTGTAGTACAACTGGCGACAATATTTCTTTAATGATTTATAATTTTGTCGTATATAAAAGTACAAACTTCGAAGGTATCAAGAGGGTATCTACCAGGGCTTCTATCGATTGCTTCCAATTACCTGGCTTCTCGAATAGGAAGCTCTATATTTGAGCGACTTGAATTGCAAAGCCAATTCTTCAATGAAGATAGATGATCAATCAAGTAAATTGATCTGACCATTGAAAAGTTTTGATTGTTTTCTATCTATATTATTGGCCCTTGACCTCCTAATGGATCAACTAAATCCATTTTTTGTGTGCTCACATGAAAAGGTTAGTTAGCAGGCCTAAGTCATTATTGTGAACACCCAAAATACAAAACAATCACCAAACAACGTCTCAATGACTGCTTTCCCTGTAAAAGTTATCAGTTATAGCTTCTACTACTTATATCACTCAGCATGTATCAATGTTTCGTTGAGATATTGGGAATGAAAGGGATCATCATCACTTTTTGGGTTCCTCCCATCTCTATCATAAACCAGCTCTGCGTCTAAAAATGTAGACTACCCATACAGCGCAGTAGTTTTGGGCCCAATGACGCCCAATACACTCGGAGCTTTGATCATGGCACTAGAGTAAAGTACGGGAGGAGCCATACTCTAGTTTCGGGAACATTGAGCTAAACCACTTGGCAAACACTCGGCGGAATGACTTCTTCTTCCGCATCTTTCTATCGATCACAATCCTGTATCGTTTTTTCTCATGGATTTATGCAGGTCACATTCTTCTCTGTGAAGCATACATCAATCATACTGCCAAAATCAAAATAGGTCACATTCATAACGAACGCTATCCAAAAAAAACAAGCAACGAAAACAAAAGCCCAATAACTCCCATACGCCTGGAACACCTTTACTTGACCATAAGAAAATCATCTCTCGTCTCCTCATTCGTACCGAAGATCATCAGAACTCATAGCTATGATACCTCGATGATAATTGTCAGTTCTGCCGCCTCAACAATCCATCATCCCCTGGAACTATCTGGCTTGAATTTCTTGGTTTTGTACTTGGGCCTATGCGTGACGGAAGTAGGGGCGACTATCTTAGTCTGGTATTGAGAACTTTGCCCAGAAACATCAGAAGCTCTGTCTGAAAATTCATATCCATGTGGCACCACAGTCTGTCTCCCAGATGTACTCCTAGAGACGACTGTACTAGGGGCGACTATTTCAGTCCTTCTCCCAGATTGAGAACTTTGCCCAGAAATACTAGAAGCTCTGTCTGAAAATTCATATCCATGTGGCACCACAGTCCTTCTTCCAAAATTAGAGTTCGTGTCAGAAGTCAGACTCCCGCCAGCGCTAACCGTCGTTTTCGACCCATGGTGTGATCTCCTATCTGGCGATTCCTCGCGGCGCCGTGTTCTATCCGATAATCTTGGATCGCCCTCCCCCACTCGATTTAACTCGAACAATCCCCCCGAATTACCATATTTGGGATCGAGAGACATTTTGGCTACTCCTATGGGTGTGCCATCTCCATCCATCAGCAAAGTATTGCCCAATCTCCGTCCCGCCTTCTTCTCCGCAAGATCGAATGCCGACTCAGCTACACTCCCCTTTGCCTTGTGTCGTCCTCTTATTTCGCGTAATTCGCTTTCATCGGGCAAGTACGTAGCGATTTCCTCTTTTGTCATCTTGGAAAATTTAGATGGAGGCGGTCCGCGACTGGCTTTGGGATTATAAGTATTTGAGAGATTCCTAGAGTCTTGACTGTAATTGGTTCCCACTTGACTCGGATTTGCTGTTCTCCGTCCACCATTCTCAGAATCAGCTATCACAGTGCGATCTTCTGGTAAAGTGAACAAATTTGACCCAATAGATGGAGCTTGACGAGACGGCTTCACGGTTGCTGATGAAGCTACACTTGATGTTCTGCTTGAGGTTTTGGATGGAGGTTTTTTGTCGCTCTCGCGAGATCTTGAGCGAGGTCTTGATTTAGCTTGAGATCTAGGTGGAGGACGGACACTGATACTTTCGGAGGGGGCGATGGTAGTTGGTGCCTTGGAAGGTGCTGTACTAGTTGGTGCTTTAGAAGAAGGGCGACGAGAAGAAGGACGCTCCGAGCGATGTGCACTATTGGGAGCAACACTAGGTGTGTATTCATCCACCTCCCCCCTATCCCTCTTATCTTTCTTTTCCTGAAATTCTCGAGATCTTTGTTCGGAGGATATGCTGGCTCCTGATGTTTTGGATGATATGGATGCTTTGGATGCACTGGAACCACTAGTACGTTCAGTGTATCTAGATCCATTATTTCTTTCGGACATGTTAATTGTTTATTCTGTGTTGTTATTTTGTTTTCTTGACTGAAGAAATCTACTTTATGTTGCGAATTGTGATGATGATGATGGTTGGAGGTGGTGGTGGTGGTGGTGGTGATTTTTATTGGTTTGTTTGTTTATTTGTTTATTCGTTTGAGTTTCTTCGGCTATGACTTTACGAAAGGGAGAATGTTATTTCGAGATTTGAGAATCGAATTTGGAGGTGAGATGGAGATAGAGGGAGGATAAAAATACGTAGAGTGTGAGAAAAGGAAGATGTAATGTAATATAATGTAATATACTGCGTTTAATACTTCTACCCACTCAACCAGAACAATACTGAAGAAATATATACCTACAAACCAACAATTTGAAGCTAAAATATATGGATGAATAGTAACCTTACTAATCTGTCTACATAAATCCAGAACCAGTATCATTCACTAAATAGACCATCTAGACCATTTATTCATCCAGCCTATTCATCCATCTAGACCATATATCCATCCATCCATCCATCCTAACCTATACATACAAAACACTATTTGGTACATTTTCCTAAGACCGAGACCCAATAAGACCGAGTCTAGACTCTATCTATATCCTCATATCCTCTCAAGAATCAATTTAATTCAGGATACCTAGTTTCTCGACCGGATATCAGTACCAGCTAGCTGGTCCCCCGACCCAGTCCAACCCAACCTAATAACAAATAACAAACAATAATTACTTTACACATACGAAAACTAACCAAATTTCTTATTTAGTAATCTTACAGTACCATATAATCCAGTATAATACTACTAAAGCCATTATAATAAGCAACAAGCAACAAGTAAATTTGACTAATATGGTATCGTATCACCTGGTCCTGGATAGGGGTATCGACCAGGTCAATAATGACTACGAGTACATGAACTTGCTTATTCCTTCCTATACTATAGTCCTTTTATTGATTTGATGATGGCAATGGTCTAGAACTATAAAAGCTATGAAGTGAGAGAGAGCCCTTATAAGCTTACTAGCGTATGTCTATAATCTCTATTCCGACTCGGACAGATTAATATTAGTTTAGGTTGATATGGGCTAGATTATGTTATGATAGGACTGATTTGATGGACTTGATGGCTATGATTATGGCTATGGCTATGGCTATGGCTATGGCTATGGCTAGATATATGAACGGGACAGGCCTGTAATGTTGTTGTATTAGGTATATTATATTATGGTCGCGGATATGGAGTGAAGATGGAGAATGAGTTTTGGCGAATGGGCTTGGGCTGGACCTTGGAGACTGAGAAAGAGGGAGAGGGAGAGAAAGAAGAAGGAAAAGGAAGAGGGAGAGAGAGAGAGAGAGAGAGAGGGGATTTTATTCGAAAAAATTCAAAGTATACTTTCACTTTCACTTTCTCTTTCTTCATTCTTATTCTTATTCTTCATTCTTCATTCACTACACTACAACCTCGTCTTCCCCCTCGCCCCCCTCCCCTCCCCCTTCTCAAACGATACGATACGATACGATACGATACAATTCAAATCTTCAAATCGCTCCGATGCTTCAAAAACCAAATCCAAATCCAAATCCAATTACCCAACTACCCTCCCTATTCACTACCCAACTACCCATCTCAAAAAAACTTATCAATCCGAAAACTATTGACTCCATTTTATATGCAAGCAAGTGGTTCAAAAATGAATTCCTCTCTCCATTCATCCATTTTTTCTTTCATAGCTGGCCCGAGAGAAGAGCTTCGGTTGCTTTTTCAAAAAAATTAGTTCATTGTCCAATACAAATTAGGAAAGAGTAACATAACAACATACCAGAGTTAATATAAGCTCTCCTAGCATCAAGCGAAACACCAAATCTCTTTTCCAACTCCATTTTGATACTCTTCTTCGTGATCGTCATCAAATCAGCTGTCCTGAGAATATCTCGAATTTCTTGTAGGATAGAGTCATCACTTGGTAAACCCGCTAGATTAGACATCTCCATTTCTTGTTGACCAAAATATTGACTTCCGCTAAATTGACTGGCGCGATTTCCTGGTGTACCCAATCCCATTTCAGATGGTGCTAAAGAGATTCGAGACTGATAGGGATTTCCATTCTTAGAATCGACGCCATAACCATTGTAATGGGACATCGGTCGAGATGCTGGGATTGCGTATTCCGAAACACCGGGTTGGTACTTGGTACCATAGGAATACCCCGAAACCACAGATCGTCCATCGTCATCTTGTTGAGTTTGGGCTTCCCAAAGCTCAGCTTGGTAGTCTTCCCATTTCTTATGCGGAATAGACGCAGGATCGAAGATTCCTTCGTCGGTGATGACAACCTGCTTACCCGTCTCTCCAGTAACGACACGAGTGTTACCCCACGAGAAATCATCCATGTGCCAGAAACTATACAATGGCAAGCATAAGGAGTACACAGGGATAGCAAGGATGTAAAGAATCATCCATCCGATCATCTCCCATTTGCGTCGCACAATGAAGATAATTGCCTGCAAACCATAAATAGCAGCAAGTAGAATGAAAGCCGTGACAGGAACATAACTTGGAGATTTGATAACGAGGACGATAAGGTAGACGATATAGGCAACGGTGACTGGTTGAACCAAGGTGGAGACCAAATCAATCATGACAACGAAACGCATACTGAAGCAGCAGAATCCACAAAGTTCGGCCATAGGCATGAGTTCTGCAAGGTTGTGTACGGTCGAGTTAATCCAGCGACGACGTTGAGAAAGGAAGACTGCCCAAGTATCAGGAGCAATGGTCCAAGCGTGAGCGGCACTAATGTATTTGGTCTTGTACTTGGAATGGTATTTTATGAGTAGCGTGGTCAAATAACGATCTTCTCCCAAATGTAGCAAGTTCTTCATGTGAAGCGTGTCGACTCGGATATTGGCATAATTTTCGACAACCTCACGACTGACGAAGAGAGGCTTTCCGGATTCTGCAGCTCGAACACGATACATTGTGAAACAACCTGGCAAACAAGTGACACTGCCAAACAAACTTTCGAATGCCTTGGCAAGATTGTGAGAGATAAAGTACTCGTAGACTTGAATCATAGTGACGAATGATGATTTCGAGTTCGTCAATGATGTTTCTCCACATACACCTAGCAATTTAGTGTCGTCCAAGAATGCCGAAACCATGCGAGCGGCAGAGTCCGGTGCAACGACTGTATCGGCATCAATCTGTAACATGAACTCATAAAATGTCGGATTGACACCAATGATATTGCGGATTTGATGATACATTTCAAGCTCGAGAGGAGTCATGGGAGCATTATAGTGAACGCGGTTCAAGAATCGCATCATGACCATCTGAGAATCACGCTTTCCTCGATTTCCTGGTTTAGAAACTTCAGAAGGCTTGCCAACTTTCACAACCACCAAGAATGGAACGATGTGACCTTGGACCTCGTAAAGACCAGAATAGCATTTGCCCATGTTGTGTTGTTTCATTCCCTCACCCACAGACTCGAAGCTTAGAGGCTCCGGATCAACAGTATCTGACACTCCAAGAATATCCAAAACGATACGTGGGGTCGGTCTATCGTTGCCTTGACCAATAATCATACCGTCACAGATAACGACTAAGAGTTTACGCTTGTCATCATATTTCATTCTAGCGATAGAGTCGATAGCACGGCGAAGAGAATCTTCGTCTTCTGTGTAGACAGGCACTTGGCAGATGACAAACTTATCCAGATTTTCGGGAATGTTTTTACTACCGAATTGAAGAGCTGCGAGAAATTTAAAGACGATGACAGTGCAGAGAATGGCCGAAATAGCCAAAATCAAATATTCGGCAAATTGACACTTGACGGAGTTTCTGGTATCAACGTCTGCAACATAGAAGAGGTTATCGAGACAGATCTTCATGCGAGATCGCATTTCGTCACTGATGGCAAGAGCGTTCCAGTATTTCGTAACGTCCTTGCCGGATTTTTGTTGGAACAAGTCCACGACTAAGGGTGACATGAAATCGGTGTTAACATCAGCAGATGCAGTGTCCCCGTCAGCGACGATGACTTTACGGCCTCCCGCAACATACTTAGTCATGTCGTAAACCCTGCCATTTATGATGCCGACCGAGCTTAATTTCGTAGCAAGAGTCTTGACATATGATGCCGTATAACCAACACGACCCCTGTAATAACCGGAATCTTTGAGCATGATCATTTGCTCTATAAACCAATCAGGGCGAGTATCGTTGTTGAAGGAGCGGAAGTCGTGATATTTGGCATTAGGATCACTGCTACTAACTGTAGATGCGGAACCGGTGACATTGGTAGAAGTATAGTCGAGTTGCACCGAAGGATCAATAGAACCTGTGGTTCCCTGGCAGAGAGCAGAGACTTGAACGGGAAATAGGCCAGTGGCATCCAGACCGGCATACTTTAAGAGACTCTTTTGGGGTATGATTGATGGGTAATGACGAGTTGAAAAACTTGTGAGATCAAAAACCACTCCTCTAATGGCAATATAAGCATCGGCGCTTTTCCCGTCGTAGGACGTCAGTTCAGACGCACTATAGACGTGTTGAGTAGGACAGATCAATTTCGGGAATATTACAGTAAAGAAAGCGGCTCCAAGACAAGCCCACCAAATCATCATGTTAATCGCAAGCTTCTCTCTCCAGGCTAATCGAACATCTTTTCGAGACATGCGACCAACCCAGCGTATCAAGAAATCAGGAATGAGCCAGGTCATCAGGTATACCATGGCTACCCATCGCTTGCGACTTGCACTTACTTTGACTTCCTCTACCTCGACCATTGTCTTCTCATTTCCTTTCTCCGCCAGTTGCTCCTTGGTGTCCAAATTGCGGAACATATCACCTTGGCCAAGAGCTGAAGCACCAGCATCGGAACGCGCATCGTCTTGACTACCGAAGTAGCCAGTTTTCTTGTCTCCATAGATGTAAGCTCCAGGTGATGGCGTGAGAAGACCCGCTCCAGGACCCACAAGACGTTCTTTTGAGGCTCCATAGTTGTCACCTGGTGCAAGTCTGGGCTCTCCACCATCGTCAGATGGTAAGGGGTAGCGTCCTGCGACGAAACCACGTTCATTGAGCTTGGCAATCTCAGCCCAGCACCTCTCGCTGAGAAATATCCCCGTACTTCCAACTCTCGCCTCGTTGGAAGGCCATCTCTTCTCTTCGATGACATTTTCAGCCTTCTCACGCTCACTACCAACCAGTATTGTCTCGGTATCTGCCAGTCCCAAGAACTCCCCAAAGGGAATAAAAATACTGAAGTCCGCATTTCGCAACCGTTGACTGATTTCAGCAATACCAAAAGTTTGAAGCTGCATCCGTACACATTTGCTATCGAATTGATTGGCTATGCGGCGATCATTCGGCTTGAGACAGAATACAAAGTATGGGTTCGTATTCTGCGAGTTGAGAGCCTTGAAGATATTATCCAAGGACGATAGATATTGTGCAGCGGCTCCTTGGTCAATATTGAGACCCTTACGAGTTTTATTTCCTGGGTCGATTGTTTCTGTGATGTCTTCGACTGATTCCATTGCGTTCTTCGACCCACCGAAGCGACTTGGTCGATCTCCTTTCCGTCGCATGACACTTGGTTGTCTCAAAGGCTTAGAACTGACTTGAGCTTGCATAATAGTTGACTTCTCTTGTGGATGCACCATACGTTGAAGGGCTTCTTGACCAAAAAGCTGGCTTACGAAGTTACTCTTCGTGTCGCGAATCAAGTTCATGAGATCTCCCGAGATAACCTCTCCGTTTTCTTCCACCAAACCAGCGATAGGATACTCCACTTCCCCAGCGAAATGCTTAACGGTGAATGCAGCGGCAGCGTTGTGAGTAGCAAAGTTACTGCCTGGGAGCTTGGCAGTTGCACTGCTGACTGTTATTGCGGGGTTTTTGCCCTCGAAGCGTTTTCTCAAGCTTTCCAGTAGCTGTACATCTGTCTTATGACGCTTCGTTTGATCGTCAAGAATACTTAAAAGACCATTCCCGTGCTTTAGAAGACCCCTGACGGCATCGGAATTGTCGAAATAGCTGGTAGCTGCAACAGTTACTTCTTCGGTTTCGAGCATATCAGCCTTTGCCTCGAAAAAGCTTTGCAAGGTAAAGTTATAAAGTGCCTCCGTCGCAGCGTTATTCAGAAGTTGGTCGAGAGTTGAGTTAGTGGCAGGCTGTTGAGCAAAACCAGGGAAATCCACTATGGAAATTGTGTTTCCGACCGACTCCTCTGGCGCACAAACTCTTTGATTGATGTTTTCGATGACATACGCTACAAGCAACGAGTACAAGGTCCTTGCTAATTCATCCGCATTGCTCTTAGCACCCTTAGGATCGAGCATCACCGTCACCCTTTCTCTGTGGAGAATCTTGGTCTTGTAACCAAGTGTGGTTTGCAGGTCGGTTGCACCAACACCCAAGAATGCCGCTATGATGGAGAGAACATCCTTATTTTTGACAGCCGTGAATGACTGGCCACCTTCGTGCGAATATCCTCCACTATCGTCTCCCATTGCCGCGGTACTTTCGGCCGTTTCAAACTCAAGTTGGCCAATGTGAAGAATACTAGCCAAGATCTGGCAGATCTCGGCGATTTCACTTCTTGGAAACTCCAACTTTCTCAATGCTGTCTTGAATAGCTGAAAACCTTCCGCATCGTTGATCCCAACCTTGAGTTGCGTTGGGTGTCCAAGATATCGCCATCTCTTTTGGCCTCCAGTGGAAAGTCGATTACCGGCGCCTACATGGTCCCCCGTTGAATCCAATCCCAAATGCGTCTTTTCGGCAGCACTGGTACCCGCCAGAAGGTAATACAGCACATGAAAGTTCCTCTCTCCCGTTGGAACCGCGGCCACTCTACTTCGTTCCAATCTGTGGTCGAGAACCTTTCCACCAATCAAAGTAGGATTAACTGTTGATGCTGTATCGTATTGAAGCTCGAAAAACAAACCTGCCTTTGAAGCGGTTGGAGTGGTAGCAGTTTTGGTAGATGTAAGTGTATCGAAGACGTATGCAGACAGAGATAGTTTAGTCGAAAGAGGAGTACTGGATTTGGCAAGTAAAGCAGAGAGTAAATGAGAACGAATTGTAGTTTTGCCGGATCCTGACTCTCCTCTATTAAACCAATTAGCAACATGTCTTGGGAGGATTTTCAAATATGAGATCGTTCACTCACAAAAATATTACGGCTTGATTCTCGGTTCTGGCTCCAAGTCTCGTATATGCCTTGTCGGCCATACCCTCTGCGCCCCCCATTGCACTCCCTTCTTTACCTCCATCTGGACCTTTTGTCGAAGAAGAATATGTGTTGAGAGATATTAAGGCATGGGAAGAAAGATCCGCCGTTGGCAAAGAAACATGGAATCGACTTGCAAGATGTGCAGTTAGATGTGTATCGGATTGTAGGTGAGCTGGTAAGGCCGGAAGGGATGGCTGCGAGTGCGCTCCACTGCTTGGATTGTTGAGAGCCATGATGAAAGGATATGGGTCGAAACCCTTAATGACTGTATTTGTGTGTCAATGTAGATTTGATTCTCGGATCGATTTCGAATAAGAAGTATATCAATACTGGTGTATTGAAACGCGTTTTTGGTGCAAATGTTGGTCGGGGTAGGGGTTAAACTGTTGAAGAGAACGAAAGACTCGATTAAAAGCAGATTAAATGGCGAGACAACGAGTGAATTATGAGCAACAAACAAAAGCGAATGTATTGAAAAGTTACTAAAAGTTTAAAGGAACAAATTCAGAAGAAAATGAAATAGATATGAAGTTGTTGATGTTGAAGGGGGAGGAGGACAAAAGATGTGAATCCCTTAATTTTTACCCAAAAACAACAACACTATGGATTATGTTCACTAGGTAGATAGATATTGTTGGATTTTAGATAATGATTGTAATTGTAGTCTACCGTATATAAATTTGGCATGAATTTAACATTCCTCGGTATGCTATTTTAAGGAGGAACAACAAGGATATACTACTATAACTGGGTAAGGTATACCGGTATTCATCAAGCAAGCAAGTTGAAGGAAAATCCAGTGGAAAAAAAGGAAAAGGTATCCCATCCCGCCACCACCTGGTCCCACTTCCTAATAATTGTATTCAATCAACACGAGAAATCAAGCGGGTGATGATTCAAAGACTTCCTCTTAAAATACACAGCCACCAATAAACAGCAAAAAAAATCACATAATCATATATACAGTTATAATAGTTCGAACATTCCCGATTGATTGGCACGCTTGGCGTGATAGGAAGTTGAAATGGATGAGAGAAGTTCAATAATAGGAGTGAATGGATTGGTTGAATGAATGAATGAATGAATGAATGAATGAATGAATAAATGAATAAATGAATGGATGGACGATGGACTGATCCACCATGTTATTTATTGATTGCATCCGAGAAGCGATCAAGTACGAGGTGCAGTATACAGTACGAGGTAGATAGGAGGGGCATCACAAGCATCAACCTATACGGTACTTGTATCTAATATCCGAGTTGTTCTAGTTCTTGTTCTCGTCTCAACTATATTTCAAACAACAAGTACTGCATACCATACAAACCACCGTATCATAATAGAGAAAGTTGATGCAGAAATCTCACCAAGAATAAAGCATATGTGCACTGTGTATACCCTTTTCTATAATACTGTACCGATTCTTTGACGCTGTCGACGGAACATACTACCTAAGTAGTGGAGAGCTTGATTGAGCTTGGCTTAGGAGTGAGTGGTCCGTTCCGGAGAAGTTCTAGAGACAACCGCTGGCCGCCAAAACTTCCTTCTATTTCTTTATTAATAAGCCATATTATTATTAGATAGACCATGGCCTTATGGGTCAATATCAATATGGGCAGATCTTTTATATGGAGATATTTCCAATGTACAATGTACAATGTACAAACAAGGTTGGTTACTGTGTTCTCCTCCCCCTTTTTCCATCTAGAATAATAAATAATCTACCTCGGTAGGTATGAAAGACTCGGCGCTTATATTCTCCGCTATATACAATAAGCATACTGGTATAACCACTATCGCATCTATCTTACCTAGATATATTTAAGCATTCACAAAGCTAGTGTTGGTACCGGTACCGATACTTGTTGCGAATAAGGCCTCTAAATTAAAGAAGTATCAGATCCCTTCTGGGTTTTTTTCACATCTACAATGATTGGTTCGGTTCATTCAGACCCATTAAACAAATTTTAGACTTCGATAGCCTCGATTACAGGAATACGAAAGATACCTAGATTGATTCTTTAAATAAATTAAAGTTGACGCTGTTTTTAACAACATTAAGAAAATATTATCGGATTAAGAAAGATCTAATATATTAAATAAATAATCTAGAAAACTTTAGCTATACTTTCTTTTAATATATTGAATATAATAATAATAATAATAGGTTTATATTGAATCTTTATATCTTCTTTATATTGTATATATATAT